CGCGCTGTAGTAGGTGCAGAGAGACTGGCCATAACTCGCGTATGTGCAAGAAAGATACTCTAGGTACTGCTTAATCTATTATGTTAATATGTAGTAAAACAACTATATTGTGGTGGAACTACAGGCTTATAGAGGTGCGCAGGTTTGGTGGGGTGCGGCGCTCGCTTGCCTGCGGCGCTCGCTTGCCACATACGTTACTTAATCTAGATCTACGTGGATTTTCGCCTACCTATGCAGCTATGCGAGATATAGCTAATAGACTACTAGCTACGCGCGGCGCTAGCTAGGTTGGCGTCTACTAGCCGCGCAACTTTGTTAAGCGTACTAACAGTCTTACAACGCGTTTTAATTAAGCGTACAATAGGTAAAGAGCCTTATATGAAGATCTAGTCTTAATTAAGAGCTAGTTTAAGCTTGTGGAGAAGACAAAGGCCAAGTACAGCATCTATAACAAAGACGTCTACAACTTCAACAAAGCAGGCTTTATAATAGGCAAGATTGCGACTTAGCTAGTCGTTACAGCGTTAGAGAGAAGAGGCCGGCCAAAGGCTGTTTAACTAGGTGGCCAAGAGTAGGTAACGTTTATCGCTAGGATCAATGCAGCTAGCTAGTCTATCCTACTATTCCTTATCTTTACTAGCAAGCATCACCTATCTGCCTAGTATAAGGAGACAGAGATCCCACGCGACTGGGCGATCGCAGTTAGCGACAACGGCTGGACGACTAATAAGCTAGGAGTTAAGTGGCTAAAGCACTTTGTCAAGCATACAGATGGCAAGGTTGTTAGGGTACGCTAGCTGCTTATTCTTAATAGCTATAAGAGCCACTAGTCACTTAAGTTCTAAGAGCTCTGTAAGGCAAATAATATCTATACGCTCTATATGCCGCCTCACTTATCTCACCTACTCCAGCCTCTTAACGTTGGCTGCTTCTCGCCATTAAAGCGCGCGTACAGCCGTGAGGTAGAGAGCCTAATACGCAACCACATTAACTATATCACCAAGCTTGAGTTTCTGCCAGCGTTCAAGGTAGCCTTCGATCAATCCTTTACGGCAGCTAATATCTGCTTAGCCTTTTAAGGCGTAGGCCTTGTTCCTTTCTAGCTAGACACTGTTCTATTAAAGCTTAATATATAGCTGCGTACGCCTACTCTAGTAGTGTTACACGGGGTGGCACTATATACTTACCTAAGCTCGGTCCGGGTTAGGGCGAGTGGTCAGGAGTGGTTAGGCCGCGTGATTGTTGTAGGAGTGATTCCGTTTGGAAAAGAGTTATCGGACTTAACGAAGTAGAAGAGTAACAATCAATTCTATCTAGGATAGAATAACTAGTAACGATCTTGTTAAGTTAAAGTAACTAGTAAGAAAGTACAATTTAAGTTGACCACAACGAATATAATAATGAAATCTAACCCATTCTTATATCCATTGCCTTTGGTCCTGGCATCGGACAAGACTCCTGGAGTCACTGACTCCCAGCCCGTCCTGTGAGGCCATGTCCTCACATGCCCAGGGTGGCATCACTGATGCCACGGTCTTGGCGTGATGCTAATCACGTGATCATCGCCCCGCGGTGATCATTACCTTTTGACGTGGCGCCCAATGGTCTCCAACCTGCGGCCTTCGTCCAGGAGAGATCCTTCCTGTTACCTGTAACATTATCCCCCCTCTTAGGCGTATCGTCCCAATACCCTAGATTATTGTTCCCCCGTGCCATCACTTAGCGGGTAGCTTGAATAAATAGTGCGGTACGCCCGTCGTATCGTAAGCGTTCCTTCCTCCATGCCTTCCTAACCATGCCCAAGGTTCAGCCTTCTCGTCGTGTTCGTGCTCAGAACTCAACTTCTCAACGTCGCGCCCGTGCTGATCAAGTGAAAGAGCAGGGTCTAGAGATGACTTTTCGGTGCAAGCGGTGTAAAGAGAAGAACCTCCGTTGCTTTGTAGACACGGCGACTAGTTGTTGTGCCAGGTGCATTTTAGTTGCAGCTAAGTGTAGCTTATTCGTTTCTAAGGAAGAGTAGGAGAAAGTTCAGCGGGAGAAGCGGTAGAAACAGATCGAGATTGCGCGGTTAAAGGCCTAGCTAGCCTAGCGTGAGCTAGAACTCCTAGAGGCTGAGGCGCAAGAGCAAGCATTTGCTGATCGAGATCTTGCTATCTTGAATCTTCAGGATCGTGCGAAAGAGCAGGCCGAGGGGAATTCTGCCCCTAGTACGGACCTTCCGACAACCGGACCATCGCTACCCAAACAGTCGACTAACTTGGGCTAGTTACAGGCTAACTCTTCTTCTTTCGACCCTTTTTCCCTTGACTACTTCCTTTCCCTCAAGAACCCGGTTCTCGCTTCTTCGGATATTTCCAATGGTACTCACGTACCAGTGACTTGCAGTTCGTTAGGTTTCCTTCTAGTTCCCAGGTGTTATAGCTCTTGGGCCATCCTTCCTACTTGACCAAGTACTTCCACTAACTGCCATCTTTCCGTAGGTCTTTAATTTCCTCGACTACGTACTCGTCATCCTCGAGTTCCAGTTCTTCTAGCAACTCGGCGTTTTGGGGTGCTAGTTCTAATAGTTTCTTGTGGAAAACATTATGTATGCGCATGCCTTAGGGTAGTCGTAGCTTGTAATTTACTTCCCTAACTTCCTCTAGGATCTCGAATGGTCCTACTCAGAGGTTGTCCAATTTTCTGCATAGTCGCTTAGTCTTTAGGTTTTGTCGTGACAAGAAGACTTTATCCCCCTTCTTAAAGGTTAGTCCCTCAATCCTTTACTTATTTGCAGCTTTAGACATCGTAAGGTTCCTATAAGCGATGTTTTTACTTAGTTCTTCGTGTAACTCGCGCATTAGTCAAGCTTTATTGTCTGCTCTAACTGCGATGCTTTCAATATCCTTTAGATCTCGATAAGCGACTAGCTCATATCCGTAGTTTGCATAGTGTGGCGA